AAGGCCATGGTTCAAGTTTTCTGTTAAATAAAAGAACCGAAAAAAATAATCAAATAGAATAGCTGGAAGCAGGATAATAATATAATTCTACAATTAACTCATTTTTTAAGCACAACACACGCGGAGTAAAAAAAAACTACCTTCCACCAGCACGCCAGGGTCAGCACCGGTCGGCACTGTCGTTCCTGCAGTGCTCCCTCTCCCTTGCAGCCTCGTGTGTAGCTTCCTGTGTGCGCATGCGCACAGTCAACGAACACCTCGCCGCTGGAACTGTGAAACTCACAGTTCATACAAAGATTTGGCTACTGACATTAAGCTTAAGGATTATATATTGTACTGTACAAGTATAAAGAAAGAATTAAAGAAAAAAGGACTCATTATATAAATGTTATCGATAATATCAAGTGGAAATTGGGGGTGCTGCAGTTCCGCAGTGCCTATACACGGGCCGCCCCTGGATTTTAGCACTTCAATTCACTGTGAAGTCTTCTTGCTATTTCGTCTTCAATAAATCTGGAATATTGGAAATATAAATTCTTCTGGACTCACTCCTCCAGCTTACGACTGACTCGTAACTGCACTGAACGAATTCTGTCACTCTTACTCACATAGCCGCGGAACGGACATGGACATACTATAAATACATATCACGTGATCGGTATCCAGCCAGGGTATTGGCGTATCGCTCGGATCTACATAAAACGGAACGTCTTCTATTGCTGCGTGTTGGATCATGTTTACATAGCTGTTGCCTGGCAACGCGTTGATCAAATCTGTTACAATACTAAATAAGGAGTATTCTCTCGCATTTTTTAAATTATCTCTAAAACAGCATGACTTGCGAAAGAAAGTGCACTGAATATGAACTTCTTTCCTTCCCACAAATGTTTAACGATACATACACGAAATGCATGCAGATAAGCTTGTAGGATCTGATGTAAAGTTTTCATTATTAGTGTCGAGCGTTTACCAAAATTAGGCGGTGTCATAACTCAAGCGGTTAGTCTCCGGCTTCCCACAGCGGAATTCCGGGTTCAGACCCAGTTCAGGTCATGTGGATAAAATGACAATCGGGCGAGATTTCTTCGAGTACTCCTGTTTCCTCCGCGAATTATCGTTTCATACAGTTTCAATACTGACAGCGTAGTTAAATAACCAACTTACAACTTACTTACTTAATCCGTTCCTCTTATACCTTACGGCGTCGAGGTTTGTTTTTTTCATTTTGATCATTTTTCAGACGGTACGACTCCTTGGACGAGTGATCAGCTCGCCGCAAGGCCTCTACATAACCACAGGATAACATCAACACAGAACAAACACATACACATACCCAACATTTATGCCTTGTGTGGGATTCGAACCCATGATCCCGGCTTCCGAGCGAACGAAGACAGTTCATGGCTCAGACCTCCGGCTACCGTGACCGGTACCAGCTTATAAACTAACTAAAATTCGATTCTTTCAGAAAATCTTAGTAAAACTCCCGTTTCAGATTACGTGATTATATGGACAGCGGTTCTCTCGTTTTTTCATGCGTGCAGACGGACAGACAAATGGACAGAGGGACGGGCGGGGCAATATTAAGATGCCATCAGCAAGTTTGCCTAAAAACAACACATTCATAATTCGTTTCCTTGTACTTTCTTGAACATAACAGTCTCTTAAATTGTTTCAAATAAAAATTCTAGATCCGAATGAGATACATAGTATGTATACGTTACGTGTCAGTTCTTCTTATGGTGAGCAGTCTCGAGAAAATAGGTGAAGTTCGTTTTGGTCTTCATTTAAAATATGTGTTATACTGGACTGATAGGAATTTAAATGGAACTTACTATACAAATTACAGTGCACATTTCCAGTGCCACAATACATCTATATCAGCCAAATGGCTTAGGAGATAAACAGGTGAAGGGCGTTCCGTATATAATGCCTCCTATTTAAAAAAAAAAAAAACTACAACAGATACAGAAATCATAATAACGCAGTTAAATAGAGCAAGATTTCAGCTACTTACAGCTATTTTACCACATAATCACCACCATTGGTTATGCACTTTTGCCAGCGATGAACAAGAGCCTGTATGCCGCGCCCGTAAAAGTCTGCGCCAGCAGAGGCTAGCCACTTTCTTACAGCTGCAATGACAGCATCGTTGTCTGGAAAATGTTGCCCACGTAGTCAGTCTTTCATAGGCCCAAAGAGATGGAAGTCTGAAGGTGCTAAACCGGGGCTATAAGGTGGATGTGGTAGGACAGTCCAGCCAAACTTTGCAATGTGCGCGGTGGTTGCCAAACTTGTATGGGGTCTAGCGTTATCGTGTTGCAAGCGAAAGGTTGTCTGCTTCTCTGGCCTGACTCGGGAAATACGGGCTTTCAGCTTAGTCAGCGTCGTCTTGTAGCGTTCAGAATTGACAGTCCCTGGTCGTTATCTGCTGATCTGTTCGGATGAGGCGCTGTTCATTGTGAGGAGTGACAGCTGAGCAGGGACACCCATGGCGTGGCTTGTCGTGCACTTCACTTTCGCCACTGTTGTAACGCACTACCCACCGAATCACTGTGCTGACATCCACTGTATTGTCTCCGTACACCTTTAGCAAGTGTCGATGGATGTCAATGGGTACAATTTATTCGGCAGTGAGAAATTCAATAACACATTTCTCTTTCATACGCACTTCTATGTCAGACGCCATTTTGGTAGACTGCTCTGCTGTCGCTATCTGTCGCACGATAACCAAATTAACAGTACATTGGCGGGAAGGTTCAACCTTTACTACAACACCACCAACATCCAGCTCAGACGTTACATATTAACACAAAAAAAAAAATAGGAGGCATTATATACGGAATGCACCACGTACAATCGATCTTTCTTGACTTGTCCATTCTGCTCTTTGTGAAAAGAATATACAAATGCTTTTGTCTGTATTGTCCTTGAATTAGGGGTAGTATTTAAATAAATACAGAATTATTATATTCCTTAACTGCTACGTTAGATGTAGTTTGAAACACAGCAGTTTAGCTGTAGAGTTTTTCTTTGTTTCTCTTACAGGCGCTTTTTAGCCTACTTTCCTTACTTTGAAAAACAGCAGTAGGCTTATGAGATCACCATGCTGTCTGTGTATCCCCAACCGTCAACTCGTGAATGCCTGAACCAATCTTTATGGAACTTGGCACCTGAGCCCATCTCAACGGTGCACTTCATAAATCCCTTCATCGGTCTGTGTGTCTGCATGTGTAACCCCATATCGTTGCCAGGTAATAACTAGGTACAGTTGTTACCACCGCAACGAATACACTCACAACAATGAAAGAACTGTTGGACGTGTCGTTTTATATGAGGTCTGTGCCGTATCAAAGAAAACTAGACTTATTAGTTCTTCCCAGAACTTCTCGTACCTTTATTTTCATTCGTAAGGTCTTTGAATTGTTTCTCCTGCTATGCTGTACTTAACTTTTAAACGTTTCTTGAGTTTTATCAGGCAGCTTTAAAAACAGGAAGTTAGTCTATGACCTCTTCATCCTCTTTGTTTCTTGGTTAGTCATTTATCCTTCATCGATTTTATGAAATCCTGCTCAAAACTCGCAATGTTATAAAAAAAACTAATCTAATCGGGAAAGCTGATAATTGTGAGTGGAATTAATACGATATTCTAGATACTGCCAGCTTTAGATCAAACAGTACATCGATTATTCGAATGTAAGCAATCCTAATGTTTGGTATTTTTTTTTCCTTGGCACTACAGCCCCAGTGGGCCTAGGCCTACCTCCATGAACTCCGTTCATTTCGGTTTTTCTAGATCTTACACATGCGGTAGGACTCCTTGGGCGAGTGATCAGCTCGTCGCAAGGCCTCTACCTGGAGACAAACACAGAAAAACGCACACAAACATCCATGGCCTGAGTGGGATTCGAACCCACGATCCCGGCTTCCGAGCGAGCGAAGACAGTGCATACCTTAGACCGCTCGGCTACTGTGACCGGCAATGTTTGGTATACCAAATCCAAACTAATCTAACGAAACCTGTTACGAGAACAAGATATTTTGAATTGTTAAATATTTTAGGTCTTGAAGTTATCCTAATGTATGATATATTGAATCTCAATTATCATAACAAAACCTGTTACAAAATCAAGATATTTGGAAGAAAATATTACAAAAATATATAGTCTGATGAAACTGTATTAGGCTGCAATACATAACACGTAGTGGCCAACTGGGTAGCCGACTGATTGAAAGATATAACTTAGTTATTTCAGGGTATATCCTACTCAGGTCCCAGATATTCACCTGATCATGTAATTCGATGTTGTTATAGAAACCGAAGGCTCATCGCCGTTTTCACATAAACACGATACTAGAATCTATCTCACCGAACCCTGTTGTTATTTACATTTCAAAAATAAATTACAGCAATGCAAGAAGCAAGTAGTGAACTCAACTTTCCGATCCCATAATTCCTCGGTTAACCAATTACGGATAATTGGATGATGATGGTAGAAGCAACCATCTCCAAATACTCTTTTTCAACTACAAAATTTTTTTTAGAAAGACGTGAAATGTAAAATTATACAAAATTTAGGATTGGATTCAGCACTTTATGACATATCTTTGCAGAATATTAGCAGCTGATTATTATGTTTTGCAATACAGAATCAAAAAATCCAAAATTTGATGGTTGTTTCTCTCCTGAATAACTACGTCAAGTTGTTGCTCTCCTGTGATTAGAAACGACAGTTATCTTACCTGACTGGCAGCGCCATAGCTCAAGCGGTCAGTCGCTGGCTTCCCACCGCGGCGACCCGGGTTCGATCCCGGGTCTTGTGAAGTGGGATTTGTGGTGGACAAAGTGGCGCTGGGGCAGATTTCCCCTGTCAATCTTCATTCCACCAATTGCTCCATAATCACCCTCACCTATCATCTGGGGCTGGTACAATAATTCAAATGTGGCCGCAGCACAAGGGACATAGTCACACCCCATTATAAATAAAAACATATCTTACCTGAACCTCCCATTAGAATATCCAGCAGCCATGTCCAACGGAACTTGGGGCTGCAGTCCATATCTTCCGGGTAGGTTCCGGTCAGTGGTATTGACTCCGGGACAGCGTCGTCAGTGATTTGCTGCGACACTCCACTCTGCTTCGGAGTCGAAGATGTGGTGTGCTGCGTGAGGAAATCACAACAGTGTTTCAGACAGCAACACTGAGCTGGCCTTGCTGCAACTGCCACTACTAGCGCTCAGCAGTCGTTCACACTTGTTGCGCTGCGTCCCCCCCCTCGTCTCTCCATCATTTGTTCTTGTTACATGAGCATATGCATATCTCAGTTATCTGTTTCTCTGTTTTCTCTCATTGGCCCATTCTCAGAATCATACCAACAGTGTTGTTATTTTATAAATCTCGCACTTCAATACTGTAATTGTTCAGTAATATACCATTATTATTCAACGGGTACCGCGGATATGTCCCCGGGGGTAAAGCCGCAGAGGCGTGAAGCCGACCGACCACTAACCTCCATCTACTGCCGAGGTTAGGAATGGTGGAGCCATACCTTCACTCCCCAATATGCTTTCATGGCATAGTGCTTAATTATAGGGAAAACTTCACCTATAACATTATGTCATCAGCTGCAGTAATTCATCCTTTCTGAAGGATGGCTATAACCTGAATTAGTATTAAACCAAACTAAACAATGATAAGCAACAAGAACTATATATATACATTGTTCGACTTCTTTCTATTCATCTTTGTTCACTGAATATAAAAATAAGAATTAAATCTGAGATAAGGAGTCGATTCTTTTTAAACACTCCGTGTCACCCATTACACAAGTTTTCGCCCGTTGCAAGGTCTTTAATGTGACAATACAGCAAGACAGTATTTTTGTGTGCAAAATTCGAGTCCGCCATAACAGTATGCGGTCGATCTCTGATCTTGTTTGCTTTGAATCACACGGCCACTGAATTCAAATTTAGGTCTTTTTACAGTATACGTGTAAATGAGATTCGATAGGATTATGATATCTTATTTTGTTGGTTTAATTAATGTGGGCCAACTATTAAGATTAGTGTCGAATGAAAAATTCCAAATGATTATGAATAAAAATGGAATCTCTATATTTTAATAGTACTTCCATAATTTTAGCGAGATTGAAGGAAAACCCGCAATACTTCTTTCATAGGGGATTTGAATCGGGGACCGTAGGAATACGACGCAAGTGCTAAGTGCTGTGCCCCTGTTTTCGTGTCTTATCCTATCAATTTTGAGTGGCATTTCATATTCTCTCTGTCGCCTTCGAGGCACACGGTAGTGTAGTTGGTTGAGGAACTATACTACAACCCAGACGGTCGCAAGTTCGATTCCCGACGAGGTTATTGCATTTTTCAATCAACCGAATCCTTCCAGCTGCACTATGGCCCTGAGGTCGACTCAGCCTCTAAGATAAATGAGTACCTGGAACCTTCCTGGGGGGAAGGGCGGCCGACGCGTAGGGCTGACTACCTCACCGCCATCTATGAGCCGATTGTCAAAAATGTGTGAGCCTCGACGTCTCACAACCCTATGGGCCTCCATGGCCTGTTACAGGGATAGCTTTACATTTTTTACCTCTGCCGTCTTCTGTCGTTTATCTTATAATCCTCCGTAAGTACTCATGACAGGGTGCTTAATTAATTAAGCCCAGATATAATTTTGCGTTAACTTAATTTACGTTTAAAGCGTTACTGCATACTATTCTATAGTATATGTTCGTTAAAACGGGATGTGTAATGAACTTTCAAATGTGTCTATCGAATATAAAGCGTACACACGCACACCGCGCTCTTGCGGCGGCGGTGTTAGTTGTAAGGCATGAGATAAGTCTCACCCCGGAGCAGCATTTTGTAGAACTGCTAAAATGATTAATTTCAATATCTGTCGGACTTTCGACTTCTGTAGGCCACGTAATAACGATAATGTCGAAGTTCAAATGTTATTTTTTTGTTGCTTTAACGGATAACGACAGTCCAAACAAATTTTGAAACCAATTAATTTAATTATGTATGTGGTGGTCTGGTACTTTATAAACATAAATATCTCACTGATGTGTGCGACTTCCGTTTCGTAAAGACTGAATAACATACACACATTTCTTCAAGGGCATGTTTTAATAACATGGTTTGTTGAAAGTTCAAACTGCATATTCATAATGAGTGAGACTTCTTTGCTTGTATGTTTCTGCACGAGTAAATATGATTTTTTAACAATATACGCTACTCATCTATGTAAAGTAGGGAAACTTGATTTCTGTTTATCTGTCACATTGAGCCTACAATGATTATCATCCTTTAAAAATTGAAATTACATGTTAGTGACGAAACACAATTACGTAGTAAAGTAAAATATTGCTACTGGACAACACAAATTCGAGGTATAGCATATTAGAATATGAACATTGATTAATTTGTGTTGAGAATTCAAGATCACGTTGATAAAGAGGACGCAAAAAGCTGTAGAATACTATAATATTAGCAACCACATTTGAAAATTATTTAAATTATTATTTTGTCAATGTCCATTTCTTGCCAATATATAGTTAGTTAGTTAGTTATTGGAGAGGGTGGGTTTCCCCATACACTGAGACCTGTATTGGTCCATTGTTCTTCCCCCTATGATTTCTACCAGTCTCTATATCCTACCGGTACTGGTGCTTACCATCAGTCCCGCCCAGCCAGCGAGACCGGCTCTACTAGCTGAGAGGTACCTATAATGCTTCCCCTATCTACCAGAGGTATTAGAGACTGCTGTTGGGCGGGAAACGTCCGTTAATTTGGCTCAGTGCCCTCCTTTGGAGATATGAGGTTCTTTTACGTGCCGTAAAGCACGGGACCCACGGCTTAAAGTCCCTCCCAGAGGACTTGTTCCCTGAATTTTTCCGCCCTTAAAAATTCGACGACTTCTGCCGGGTATTTGAACCCGCGTACTACGAGTCATGAGGTGGGAACGTTACCTCTAAACTACGGAGGCCGCTTTGCCAATTTATGAGTAATGCCTAATTTTATTTCTGTTTTTCAAAAGATAAAAGTAAAGTTGTCCCCTATGCTTAACTAGTTAAGAACTACGCCATGACGGCGTATGGGAGAGTGGATAAAAGGTGAGAAGAAATAAACTAGCCAACTACGCGGAGGAGTGCCCTTCCTGAGAAGCTAATAGTAGTTCATCTAGTCATGAAATTCTCAGAATTGTATGGATTCCGGAGGTTCATTACCATGTTCACTCTCTTTGCTGGCCCCTAACACCAGTCAGACAAATCCGGTTCACAACCTCTACTCTTATGCCTCTAAAATCCATTTTAATATTATCTTCTCTTCAACGCTTCTGCCTTCCAAGTGGTCTCTTTCATTCAGGTTTTCTTACTAATTGGTACATACTTCTGTTAGAAGAAAGCAACGACCAGGTTTAGTATGCTTCTTTGAGGTACACAGGGCAGTGCCTCAAGAGTTTGTTCACACAACCCATACAGCACTCGTTCAAGCTTAGCTGGATCGTATTTCACCGGTCCCTTTACAGTTTAAATCATTACCGAGCTACTTTTCGTTTTGGGTCCACCTGAGTGATCAACGATTTGGCAGAGGCAAATACATTTTTAATGACATCCAAAACTTCTTCCATTCTATTCGTACAGAAACAAAAGAACTTACATTTCGATTGGATAAATATACCATGAGATTATATTCAGAAATACATCTACGATTAAGATATATTCAGGTTCAAATAGATTTTTATTTGTTGTCCCTAGTAAGAGCGTACTGAGGCGCAACAAACACGACGGAAATCTGCAGAGATCAGATATACACAGGTCAGGGAACAGGCAGTTAATATCAAGAAAAAATTATCCCTTGGTTTAATTAATTTTAAGTGCCGCTTCATGAAATCTTGTGGGGATTGAAATTATAGCGCCACCATTACGAGGATTAACCTCGGCACTAGATGGAGGCGAGTGGTCTGCTTCACGCTCCTGCCGGTTTATCTATTTGGAAATTGCTCCTGGTACCCACTGTAAAGGAAGCTTTGTGATATGCAGTGAAGCCTAATCCTAACAATTCATTACGAAACACGATGATGATGAAGAGAGTGGAAATATTAAGTACGTTTAAAATTTCTTTCTGCGTGTAAGAAAACAGGACAGTGAGGGAAATATTTGGACCATGGATGAAGTGACAGGAGATTGGAGAAATCTCTGTAGTTACTTGATGGGGCGCTTCATACTTTCTACCCTGCACACAATGTTATTAGGACGACAGAATCACGGTTGACGAGATGTACAGAGCATGTAGCATGCATGGGAGAGATATGAACATGGTAATGAGATATTGGTTCCGCAAAACTAAGGAGATGTTCTTGGATAGATGAACTACTATTGGTTTCTCAAGAAATGCTGTACTCTATGGGAGTTAGTATAGACAGTAAGTCACAAGATGATGTCAACTGTTAATTGATTTTTAAGTAATGCATTACTTACTTACTTACTCATGGAGCTGAGCCCTTCTGGAGGAGCCGCCAATTCTGCAGCTACTCAAGAATTCCCCAGCATTTTATGGAACCCGAAGGTTCATCACCGTGCAATGCATTATACTTGCTTATTTACACATGCAGATTTTAACGAATTATACTTTTATTTACCTGGCAACACTACGGTTCGTGGTTACTTGCAATCTTCAGAAGACACTTTCAGCAGTGAAGAAAGAGTTTCACAAATAACAGCATAGATTTATAAAGCTCTCAGAGCGGTGAGATGAGGAAAATGACCTTTACTACTCATTTTTATGAAGAGTGGTAGTGAGATCCTGCTGTTTATTATGACTACAAAAAAACTATTATCAGCACAGTATTATTAGCTTATCACTGTAATAAGCTTATCTTTGGAACTAAACAAAGAAGAAGGTATCTTTGTGCTTCAGGTGCTTAAGAACGAATACTGTAACAGCAGCATGCACGATGTCAGTGGCCCAGTGGCATGCGTGTTGNCCATATTCACTTTTAACATAATAGACAGTCACGTGCAAAACAACTTGTCGTTCTTTGCTTCTGAGCAATTTTAGACTTCCAGATTACGGTCTTCAGGGGATGTGAAGCAGCATAGTTTGGTAAATACGAGTAGGTAGCAGCTTTTCGGAGGGTATAACCTGGATGAAGCAAACAGTTTCTCGGAAGCATGTATATCTATGCGCCAATGTACGATGCTTCATTCTAGGAGATAGTAAACTTGATACCGACGTGGAAAGCTTGTCTAACTTTTCTAGTTTTGCCCTTTAGAGAAAAGCTAGCATGTTGTTGCAACAAACATTTCTTAAGAGCTCCATAAAACAAAGAAACAGACACAATTAAGACTGTGATCTTTTGCACTCAGAACTTTTCAGACCGTGAGATAATGCATTGGCAGGATTGTGTTCTTACGTCTAGAGAACGGGAAATGATAACCTAAAAAGAATGTATTATTATTATTATTAAATAAACATTTTAAATTTCGTGAATTATTTAACTACGAATTGCAGTCACTACTATCTTATAGAAGAAACATAACCACATTACAGCCCAGTGTGAATCACCTGAAACGATTTTTTTTTATATTATTATTTATTCACAGGGGGCGGCCGTTGGGCGGAAGTCAGTAAGAAGGATAGTCTCCTCTTAACGCTGGCTTAACTAAAAAAACTCAGAT